TTCAAGCCTGTGGAAAAAGGGTTTAGAGCAGGGTTCCTGCAAGAGATTGAAGTAGGTTACTTCACGGGGATCAGGGTTGGTGCCCCAATAATCGGAAATGGGTTCTTGGTGTTTCTTTCTTATTAAAGACCGTAGTTGTGTGTAGGGGCCAAAAAAGGATATTATGACCAACATTCCGACCCCTACATTTTGAGGGCCACGGGGTGCGCAGTGTGCTTGTTCAAGGCAGGCAGCATGCCGGTAGATTTTCATACTCGACATGGGACGAGTTTGCCCGGATATCCTGAACCCTAAACATTAGCAGCTAAATCAGAAGTTTGCAGCAGCAACAGGGATCGAAAGATCATCGGAGTTGCGATGCCTAGACCGTTGCAAGTCTGTTGCAGAGAAATCACTGCAAGAGAGTTTATTTTGGTGGGTTGACTTTAGCCCATGAACTTCCTTCACCCTAAGCCAGTCCTAGAAACTCTCAATCCATGCCGCGAGCGGAAGTCCGTCTTCGAGACACTTTTGCAAGCCCAAAATGCTTCTATCACGGTCTTTGCAAGCTCTGTGGCCCGGACTTCCTGCTTCAGGGTCTCCAACTGAGTTCAGGTCCTGAACACCGGACTTGCGTGATTTTGCAACAGCTGACAGGATCATGAGCATTACATCTTCGACGGCCTCATGGAGGCCGGCAGTCTTCTGCAGCTTCCCTGAAGCCCTGCACCACAAACCCCAAGTCCCCAGTCGTAAACTCTGCTGGGCCACAACCCCCCCCGCCCCCGGCATCGCATTCTCTGTTCATCAAGAGCTGAACCAGGTCGCCCAGGAGTCGTCTTCACTGGCGCACTCGGCGGGGAGGTGGGGGTGCTTCAAGGTTTTTTTGCGGTTGATCTTGAGGTGGTGTAGGAATGTTGCAATTGCACACAGTTGCAACATGCTCCAAAGGGTTTTCGGTGGTGTAGGTGTACGTGACGGGCACCCAACACCTCTGGTATCACCCTGGTCAGAAGCCCCACAACTCTTTGTTGCCAGGGGTCCGGCATGTTGAGTCATGCTTGTAAGCTTCAGTGAGACAGCAGTTCCGGTGCCCCCAAACCAGGGCGTTCAAGTAGCAGGCAGAGAGGAATGGAACACTGTGAGACGATCCTCCTCACCTCAGAAAAATCGTGATTGGAGACAAGATGCAGCCATGCAGACCCATGATGCTCGGTTAGGGTTTGCTCCTGCCCTAGAGTTTAATTCCTGAAAATCCTCAGTCTCTAAGGTGCTTCTACTTCTACGCTCTCTGCTTCGGCGCCTTCCCAGCGCTCTGGCGCCGGGCTCTGGACCGCCTCAGCGGCGCTGCCCCCTTTCCGAGGCTCGGGGGGTTTAAGTTTAGTGTTTATTTTTTGTGGGTTCTTGTTGCATCGTGAGTAAGGCTCAAGAGATGCTGCTGACGAGGTGATTCAGCCTGCAGATATACCTTGCAACGGACAGACGGACGGACAAGCCAGACCGGCGAGACAGATGTACAGATAGGCAGACAAACAGATGAAGCAGACACGCCCGCAATGTGTACGAGCGGAGGCATGCATGCCTTCGGGCATCCGGCTTCGTGTTTGGATGTTTGATGGCCGTCTGCGTGGAATCATCCACGTGTGTATGTACTCTCGGGTGGCTGCACGCTTTCCCACGTGTTTTGGAGAAGCGCATCCGGCTACCTATGCAGATGCGCACAAAGTAGATGTGCATGTTCATCCTCGCCCAAGTACAACGTAGCCAAGCATTTCAATTGTACACAGACAGATGTTGTAGCATGCATGTGTTTGCATGTATGCCACATTCTCGCCACGTGTACTGAGAATTTATACATAGGCAGCTAAAGGATGTGGATCCGCACGTGTCAGCTCATCAGGAAAGACTTTCAGTTGACATCATGACGAGTCCACATACATTAGCAGGCCGAGCACATTCAATTTTCGGTTCTATGGTATATCGGTCTTGCGGACAGGCACACACACACACATGCATGTGTACATACCTACATACGTGCATGTTCATACGTACACATATGTGTTCATGTGTTTGTATGTACCTGCATGCATGCGTGCATGCGTGCATGTATGGATGGATGCATGGATGTACGGATGTATAATTGTTATGTATGTACGTATGTACGTATGTTTGTATGTAGTCATGTATGTATTTTCGCAGGTCTGTCTGCATGTATGTACGCCTGTCTGCATGTGCATACATATGTATGTTCGTGTAGGCAGTGGAGGCAGTTCTTGACGTGCTTTTGTGGTTTCGGAGTCTGGCGAAGGCTGCAGGCCCAGCTTCGGGTTCTGCGCGGAGTCTTGGAGACGGCTTCTTGGGCATTGAAGTGGGTGCCAACTTCAGCAGAGCCCATCTCAGCCCATAAGCTCGTAAGCAGGAGTGTCTACATGGGACATCGCTCGTTGGTGGCTCCACGCTACGTGTCTTCGCGATGCTCTGCAGGGTCGAAGCCCCAAGTCCTAAACAGTAATGCAGGAAGCAAAGCAGCCGCAATTTCTTCTGAGGAGAAGCAGCTTGCCAGCTCGGAAGGCAGTGACTGATTGAAGGGTGCGGTAGCTTGTGGCTCCAGTTATCTAGTGTTGTACCGGCTACCGTCCTTCATACTAAGTATGTAGACACCCATGTGTTTCATCATCGTGGGCATCGTCCTCAGCACCCTTTGCTTCGCGACTGTTGTTACCAGCACTATGGTCGTCGTCACCACCATCGTCCTCCTCCTCCTGCTCCTCGTCGTCGTCGTCATCACGACCAGTGATTCGACGGTTGTCACCGTCCGCCTCCACTTCGTTAGCTTCATCCTAACCCTGAGCGCCACCTCCGAAAATCATCAATACTTTCAACATCAGCATCATCATCATCAGCACCGCCACCACCACCAACATCACCACCACCACCAGCACCATACCCATGCTCATTCTCATCACCACTGTCGCCATGATCATCATCACCATCATCATCATCATCATCATCCTCGCTACCGTCGTCAACACATATCCACCAACCACCACCACAACCATCTCGTGATGTTGATCGCCAGTTTCGTCAAGCGTAGCCGCCCTCAGTGTCAGCGCTGCTATTGCTAGCAACACCGCCATCACGCTGGTTTGCTCATTACCACAATAAGCCAACCCTAAACCCGGAAGCCCGGTGTTCGTGCTTGCAGGCGCTGCCAGCCGCACATCACCTCCGACTAAGGCCGTTCTCGGAATGATTGGGCTTTCTTTAGCTAGAGTGCTTGCTTGAACAAGGAGGCCTTGATGCCCACTTCTTCTAACACGTTTAGAGCCTTTCTTCCACTGACATATCACATATCAACACAGTGCTGTTTTACGGCGCGAGCATCGAAAGTGAAGCCTGCAGCCTTTGCACAACGGGCAACATGACGAGAGTGACGAGACTGCTCCTAGGTCAAGCCCCTGCCCCACAAACCCGAAACCCGAGAACCACCAATCTCTGAATCCCAACACCTCAAGAGGACATTGACAAGTGGGAGGCCTTAAGTCGGGAAGCCTGGGTCGAACGCCCCCAAAAGAACCCTAAACCCCGGGCATCCCCGGCATCCAGAGCTCCAGGCCTTGGCTGGTGGCCTCGCTTCCCAGGTCCTGGGATCTCTGCTGCAGGCCCCAAGTGGCTTGGGGGCTTCAAAAAGGGGCCCCTCCCTGCGAGGTGAAGTCTCGAAGCCCCTGGAACCCTAAAGCCCTTAACTTAAGCCTTTAGGGTTTAGGGTTTAGGGTTTGTTTACAGGACTCGTTTGGTCCATCCCAGAACTATGGGGCTCAACCTTCGGCGAACTGAACTGGGAGCGGAGCCTAGGGAACGGTAGGGCCAGAAAGAACCCAAATCAGCACCTTCAAATATATCCTGAGCCCCAACTGACAGCGCATGCCCGTTATAGAGGCCCACACAGCTACCCATACTCTTCCGTAAGGTTCCTTAACTTAAGACAGTTGCACGAAGGTACACCCAGGGCCCTTATTGTAACTTTGAAGGCCCTCATATAATGAGAGTCGATGCAACGGCTGCAGTTCCACTTCCTGGGGCTGACAGGGCGATCGATTTTCGAAGTCCCTGGATCGGGGATAGTCGGAGAGAGGGATGTGGCGGTGGATGGGGGGCTGCTATTTCCACATCCGCTGCTTGGATGAACTCACCTGGCCTGAAAGGCTTAAAGCCCATTGCAGGATTACGTCCCAAGGCCTCGTGGCTTTGTTCTTCTGCACGCATTTTCTGTGACAGGTCTTGGAGCAGGCACAGTCCCATCGGCGCTTTGGCGGAACCAAGAGTCTCAGAGCGCAATCGTTCTTCCGTCTGAGGCCTCAACGCGTGGGTTGGGGTGGCGTGATGGCAGTCTTGAGGCCCTAATGCGTCGCAGCTGCTCCGGGCTTTCCACTGCTACTCCTCACCGTCACCCTCAGAATCACCCCCCCTCCACCATCGTAGTATGTCATCCTAGCGTCATCCGTAAGGTCAGCATCGATGTCCTCATGCCGAAGGCTTCAACCCAGAGTCTCCAAAAGGGCACAGCCCGACAGCCCCGAACCCCAAGCCCAAAACCCCGAACCCGGAAACCCTAAACCCTAAGCCCACAACCCAACAAAGAACCCATGACATCCCATGGCCTGAAAAAGCCCAAAGCCCCCCCCAAAACAAAACAGAAGCCCCTCCCCGGCCCAAGCTTTTTGAACACCCCGAGGCTGGTGGGAGAGATCGCCCCAGCCCTGGCCGCCGTGGCGAACGCAGCGCCCAGGGAGTTCCACAACCATTTTGAGGCTCCTGGGTCTTAGGTTGAAACTCTTATAGTGGGGTTTGGGGATTCGGGGTTCAGGGTTTCGGGCTAGCCTGCTGCAAAAGAAGGGTTTAGTGGAGGGTTTAGGGCGTGGGAGAGAGAGAGGGAGAGAGAGGCAAGGGTTGTTCGGGATCCCATAGTTGCCTGCACGGTTCCAGAAGTTTACGGTTGTTTCTGGGCTTCTGCGGTATGCTTTAATCGAGGCTGTGTAGTTCTGTGCATGAGGCATCAGAAGCGCCCTAGCCCCTAAACGAAAACGGCACTGGTGTAACCTTGAGGACCATCGTTGCCGAACTGAGTGTATTTGCTTACCTGTACCATATCAGAAGCGAATCCACGGTACCTGTCCTACCAGGCGGTGCGCAAATCAGCTCCGACTCCTTGACCCAAAACCTATCCTGAGGCCTGAACCCTTGAGCCTACCCGAAGTCTCGCAACACGAGCCTGAAACCCCTGCCTCCGAAGCTCAGCTCCCCTCGAAGCCACTAACCCCTGGCCCAAGTGCGTGTAAGCTGAGACCTCCGTGAGTAGGACTCCGCGGATCTTCTGCTGGGCTGGGCAGCTGGCCCGGGCGCAGCCCTCAGCAGAGGTTTTGTCGGGTTCGATTCGAACATAAGGGCGCAGGAGGGCAAGGGTTGTGACTAGGGCCTTAGGGAGCGCTTCGACGATGACAGCGTACCATGTCGGACATCTGTTCTGCAACATGCTTTTAGTCGAGGCATCCTGTGTTAAGTGCGTCAAAGCGGGGTTGACAACCTGGAGCGTGCCGAAGAAGCCACGCAAGTCTTATTGCTCCTGATCGGGAGGCCGAGCAACTCATGTCCACAGAAGTAAGAGCTGAAGAACTGTTTGTCTTGATGTCCACAGATGGTGCCGTGCTTGTCTGGTGGTGTCCGGGACCCAAAGTCCCCAAACCAACAAAGAAACAAAGAACGGGCAAAGGCCTCTCCGACGACCAGCGGGTCGTCATCAACGCAGCCTTCGCGGCCTTTGGCCCACATTGGAGAGACGCGACTTGGCCGAGTCTCTTTCAGGTTTTGGCGTTTCTGGTTGGGGCTAAGTGTTGGGTCGCCTGGCTCTCCTTGAACTGTTCTACGCTGCACTTCGGAGCCAAAATGGCCCCAGCTGCAGACGATGAAAGAGACATTCTGAACTCTCAGCCCTACCCGGAGCCCCTGAAAGCCGTAGATTTTCCGGAAGTCTTAATTCAAGATCGTGGGGCCTCAGGATCAGACCCGGGTTCTCGAGATATTTTAATCAGTACATGATGGATTTTTGAAAAGGAAGCCGGTGGGGCTCAGCCAGCTACCAAATACAGCTCCCCGTGATCCCCTACAGAGTCTCCAGGTTGACCCCTAAACCCTAAACCCTCAACATTGCGCGTCTTCTTCTTTTCTTCTGCACCCGAAGCCCCTAAGCTTAGAGCCCCTGGACCCCAGGCAAACAAGATTCCTTAGGGAGATTCCTTACAGCTCCTTATGGCCTTTTGTGTACTAGACAGGAGCCCAGAACCCCGGTCTGATTCTCAAAGTCCCTACCCAGACCCCCGGGAGGATCCAAAAAGTAGATCCCCTAAGTTGGGACCCTAACTACTAAAGGGTACTTTATAGGAACCCCCTTAAGGGATCTACGTTTTGGATCCTCCCGGGGGTCTGGGTACATGAGCTGCATGACTCTGGAGCTTCTGGCCTCGGCTCGGCTTTCGGTGTCCTCTAGGCTTTCGGGTTTCGGGTTTCGGGTTTAGAGTTAAGGGTTAGGGGTTAAGGGTTTAGGTTAAGGGTTAAGGGTTTAGGGTTTAGCAAAAAGGGTTTAGAGTCAGGAGCGCCACCGGCCATTTGCCACGGCGATGCAGCGCAAGGCGCTGCAGAGACTGGCGCTGGGTTCTGATAGGGTTTTCTAGGACGTCGTGAGGCTTCATAAGGGTTTAGGGTTTAGGAGGCTGTCGTCAGACTTTTGGAACTTGGTTCAAGATGCCATAGTAAGGAGAGCCTAAGTCTTTGCTCCGTAGCCCAACTCTTGCAGTTTCCAGCACCCGGCAGCTCGGGCAGGCTCAACCCAAAAGGGCCCGACTCGTCAACAGGGTTTGGGAGCTTTAAAGCATCCTGAAGCCCAAGGTTGGGGGCGGCGGGTTTAGGGTTTTGGGTGTAGAACCCAGCTGCCAAAAGGGGTTCAGGGTTTCGGAAGTTGAAGGGACATGTCGAGAGCCGTGAAATCGAAGCGTTGTTCTAGTCTTTTTTTCTTTGTGCATCCGCTTGTTACTTCCCTCTGCTCACTGACTAACCGTGTCGGTGTGATCGAGCTTTATACGATAAAGCTTGCTTCTCTTGAGTCTTGTATCGAAGGCCGTTTCTGGCTGGGTTACGTTCCTGGCAGGAGCAGTGCAGGCTGAATGCAGGAAGGGTTGAGGGTGTGTGATTTCGGACCAGGGAAGGAATTCCCCAGCCGTTGAAGCTACCTCACGAGGTGGTGGCAGACATGCAAAAGCTAGTGGAGGCGGGTGTTGCATGTCATTCAGGGAAACAGATTGGGGTTCCTGAATATAGGAATAGAATCATACCCCAAAGCCGTATTCTAATGACCCCCAATCGCTGGTGCTCCTCGCAGGATCCGCCTGGCAAACCTCGGGTTTCGGTTGGAGCTGTCGCGGCTCAGGAGTTTGAGGTTAGGCCTTGAGGTGTTAAGATCGATCTCAGTGTCCAGGGCACCAATCATCAAATATGACGGTTTGGGCTCTGTATAGGGTGGTTTCAGATGGAAGCTTCGTGCAAGCAAGATTGCACAACGCAAGGCTGCTGGACTCTGAACCAATGCTGTCGATCTGGCAAGCCGAAGAAACAATAGTCGACGACAAGGAGACGACACCGACGACTGCTGCCTGTCATGCGCTGTGCTCCCCCCCGCTACTGCTGCTGCGGTTCCCGCGTGATTCCTGCTCATGCTCTTCCTCGTCCTCCTCTTCCCCCTGCTAGTATGACGCAGGAGTGTATAGGAGTGCTGCAACTTCCAACCATGGCAAAGAACAAACTGGTAGTAATTGATGCGGTAACAGTAGCAGCCGTGGCACCGACGGCCAACACAACGGCAAAAGCATACTAAGCGACGATGACATGCACCATCCATCGTTTCGATGTGTATCAGCAGCATGCAAAACAGATATGAGACACGGTAAGAATAGCTTTTGACCAGGCAGGGTTGACACCAGTGCGGAGATGCAAGTGCCAAGATTGGGATTGCTAAGCAATGGAACTGCTGGTACGCAGGGCGACCGTGAAGCTCTGCATGCTTTGCTCTATTGCTTCTCGGCCGAGTTTAGGAGCTTTCAGGTTATCCCTGCGCCCAGAGTCTCGGAGCTGTTGACGTCTCACCGATGCTTGCTTCTGCTTTGAAGCGCTTCGGCACTTAGTTTTCGGAGTTCCGTGATCCCGTAGGATGCGTCTTGCTAGACTTGGGTGGCAGCTTTCCACCCGAGAGCCAATGCCGTCAACACTACACCCTAAGCAGCCCTAGACTTTCACCTCTACACCGAAGACCCCAAAAGCCCAGACCCCAAAGCCGCAGACGCAAGGCTTCTATGGCATCTCCGTTGCCATGGGGCACCTCGTCGAAGACTGGATTCTTGGGGTTCCTCTTGGGAAGGCTAAACTACATGCTTAATGAAGTCATGTACAAATCCGGCTTTTCATAAGGGTCTCTATGGCATATCTGAGACCTTGCTAAGACGAAGGGATGATTAGGGAGGGCTCTGCGCTTGTTGATGGCTTTGGGTTTGGGGTCCATGAGGGGCTTAGAAGGGATCAAAGCGCTTGTGCTGTCATCCTTCTGCTGCTGGGCATTCGTCAAGTCCGCTGATGAAGCAGTATAATGTGCGTTAAATCGTCTGCCCTCTTTTACAAGTTTATATGGGAGATTCCGAGAATATGGGGTACCTTATTTTGGGGTGCTCTTGAGTACTGGGTGTGTTAGGTTCTCCTTCAACATAAAGGACGCCTGTCCGGAACCTCGGAAAGAATCCATGAGCTGTCAAGGAACCTCGGGGAGTTTTACGAGACGGCCGCACCGATAATTTTGAGACTGGTGCTGCAGCAAGCATGTCTCTCTCACTCATTCACATGCATGTATAAATAAATAATCAACTAAATAAATAAATAAATAAATATATATATATATTATAGATATATATCCTTTTTTTATGTGCTCTGTGTGTGTGTGTGCGCGCGCGCTCTTTTTTACACTTACACTTACACACACGCACACACACACACACATATATATATAGATGTATATAGTATATAGTATAAATAGGTATATATATATATATGTATATATATATGTATATATATATATACATATGCATGTAGGAACACATATGTCTCCTCGTCTAGAGGCTTGGCCGCATGGGTGGCACAGAGTTTGGGACTTGAGCTCTACGGGGCTCAAGAAGGGTGCAAGCAAGGGTATTTGCTGTCTGGCACAAGCCTCAACTCGAAAACCGGAACCCTGGAACCTTGGATCGAGAGTTGCACTGGGATCTAGAGGCCCAGTAAAGGCACTTCCTACGGATTCCATTCCCACCCTTGTTCGGACCGACAGGGTCGCGAATGCTAGTCTTGGCAAGTAGGGGAGTCTTGAATCTAGTGTATCTCTCCATCAATCTCGAGTTTGGGCTTTGGGTAGGCCAGTAGAGCATACTATACCGCTAAACCCTATACTATTCTCTGTTTACCAGCACTGTTTTGAGAATCCTTATTACATCCATGAGTACAAAGAAGCACCTGAACCCTATTCTAATTTCTTAAGTTCAATAATCGGGATCAGACACCTGCATGGGCTTCGGCACCTCCTCCCGGCATCTCCAGCCCAAGCCCGGCCCCATTGAAGCGTTTCTAGTTCGAACAGGATTTAGGCGGTGCTTTTTGTTGATAGCTTTTTTACTGAACCACAAAAAATTATGGAAATATGATTGGGTTTAGGGGCCCATTCCACTACAATGGCCTCCCCAAGGAAGTGCATTGGCTCTTGCGGGAACCTGGCCTCTCTGTCCACGCAGGGCCCCGAGAAGGAGTGTAGCGGGGTTTGCGTAGGGTTTTAGGGTTTAGGGTTTAGGGGTTTTGGTTGGGGCTTTCTGCCTGAAGCCCGGTGAGCCCTAAACCCTACACTGGCCCTACACCCTCAGCCCAGCGAGTGTGAGTGTCGAAACCCCCCCCAGCCCTACAGTCGAGATCCTAGACACCCAGCCCCCTAAGTCTGAGCTCCTTGAACCCTGAACCGTAAACCCCAAACTCGAAGCCCGTGAGCCCTCACCCGAACTCCTAAGCAATTGGATCTTCGGCTCGGAACCCCCAGAGCAAAGCTGTGGCTTACCGCATGAATCACTTTAGAAGCATGAATGCTTGCTTGCCGCTGATCCTTTTTGGATTGATAGTGTAGTCTGCGCCAAAAGCCATGTTCTAATTATTCAGGCCCCGGCATTCGATTTGAGGTTTCTGGTTGTGGTGCCATCGAGGGTTTAGGGCTTACTCTGCCGTGCATTGAAAGACCAGCCGCCCTCCCCTTTCAACCTTCGTCCTTTGACCCTAAACCCTAAACCCTAAACCCTGACATGTTCTTGAAAGCAAGGCTGCCCTACTCTAAGGCTGCTGTTGCGAAGCTACAAGGAGAACCATGAAAGTCTATGGACGGCATCGATTGGTGCAACTGCTTGTAGTCCTCCTAGAGAGCCCAAGTACCACTAAGCTACGATGTTCCCCTCAACTAGAGGGCAGGGTGTCTTGAGCCCTAGACCCTAAACTCCAAATCCTCATCATGGTCTCACGAATTCGTTCTAACTTCATTGTCTAGATCGGGCTCGGGTGGGCTCGCCAGGAGCAGAAGATCTTGGGCCGGGACACCGAGGCAGGGCTAGAGTTTTCGTTGAGGCTCTGTGCTGCAGGGTTTAGGGCGGTTTAGGGGGGTTTCCTAGGGTCCATCGTCAGCAAACCCCGGTGGGTTTGGGGTTTAGGGGACCAGGGATTCAGGTTCTGTTCTGCTTCGAGGCTCCCGGCGCAGTGTTTTACCAAAAAATTTTGGACGAGGTCGAAGTCTTATGGCTGGCTGGGTGGGGCCGGCTTCCACACTTTAGGAGCTCTGTCAACCTGGGATTTCGGGACCACTTATGGTGTTCACGGCAGGTATCGGATTCAGTGCTCTGCTAGCTTTGTAAGGGCAAGGCAGGGAGCGTTTCGTCGAGGAAGCTTCTGACCCCAAGGTCGATGCTCGAAAGTCCCCATCCTGGAACCATTGTTTTTGCCTCGGGGCTCCTGAGTCCTGAAATTTCAGATCTTGGGACGAGCTAGCAAGGGGAACATTAGTGATGCTGAGGTCACTGCACCTTGCCCACGTCCGGGACTAGGACCGTTTAGGGCACCCAAGATCCGAACGGGTCCTTGCCGCAAGCTTTTCTGTTCTTGGGCCTGGCTGCTAGTGGCCCTACCGCAGGTGACGCTGGTGTCAAGGGGTCTCAGCCGCACACGGCTGCGCCTTGGCTTAGATCGCTGGCTTAGAACCGATGTTCAACGACCACAGACGGAACATGCGCTGTTCTGGCTCAGCACAGTACTGCCAAAGCTTTAAGCTGCTTGTCGCAACCCCCAGGGCCTCCTTCAACCAGCTTTCACCACTACCTCCCACAGCAAGTTGTCGCCATTTTCAGACTGTCCTTCAGAGATCTAAGCAGGTTGCCGAAAATAGGATGTGCGCGAGCATGGGCTAGCAGGGTTTTGCCGCTGCGAGTAATCACCAGGGTGTAGATGAGCGGGTCGATTTACACGGATGTGAAGGTGCAGGTGGGTCTGCATTCATGAATTGTCGACGGAGCGGTTGTCATAGGTTCCATGTGAGCCGATCTGAAGGTTACACGACTGTAGCCATGGAGGTGTGGTAGGGTTAGTCCGGATGTCTTGCGGGGGCTTCCATTCTGAGATGACAGATGTGCTTGCCTGACCGTAGATTTGTAAATAACCCAACGTACGTGTAAAAACCGGACAAGCAAGTCCGCGAGCAAGCAAACGAGCAATCGTACAACCATCCATCCATTCATGCATATTTACATGCATAGCGCACGCGGGCATATTTATAGGCAAGCATGCATGCTTCCTGCCTTCCAGCCTGGCTGGCTGGCTGGCTGGCTGTCTGTCTGTCTATTTGCATGCATGCGCATGCAGGACTGCATGATGTATGTGCCGCGCGTGAAGAGAAAGCACATGTGCACGCGTAGCCGGCTAAATGGTTGAACTTTGCACGACCAGGCTTCGCGACTTTTGGCAGGTTTGGGGTCTAGCATTCTGTTCTTCGTGACGCCTCCGGAGGGTCTTACGACTTAGGTTTTGGATCCCTGACGTGTTTGCTAAAGGCTTAAACTCTGTACTCTAAGAAAGTTGTTGTAAAGTTCATGTTTGAACATAGAGCATCCTGAAGCGCCATGGGAGTCATTGAATCAGTTATTGTATATTCCATATGATATCATACACCGTAAAGCCTCAAATTCACAATGATTAAGGAGATGCTGCGAAGGACCCCTGAAAAATAGACCCCCCGCTACGAGGGAAGTGATATACAGGGATCTTGATTTTGAGGCATTTGAGGAAAGGGGGTCTATAAATCAAGCGTCTATACTAGTGAAGACCTTGGAAGAGAAACGTGGGCCCTCCAGCCTGTCCCCGAAGCCAGAGAGCTCCCTATAGACCCTAAACCTTCGAGAAGAATCTAGATTTCTAGATCCCATAAACAACCCTAAGCCTTCTTGAAGATTTTAGATTCTAGATCCCCTACAGAACCCTATGTCTTCTTGAAGAATCTAGATTTTAGATCGTGAAGAATCTAGATTCTAGATCCCTTACAGAACCCTATGCCACACAAATTGAACCATCCTGATCCCTGACTGGCCCTTACAGGGAACCCTGTTGTAGCATCCATAAAATGGAACCCTCTTATAGTACCCTTCAAAAGACCCCCCCCCTCTAAAGGAAACCCTCTTCTATAGTACCCTTAAAAAGAGAGCCCTGTGATAGTACGGGGAGCCGATGATAGCACCCGGAAGAGGGAACCCTGAGAGAGACCCTGATCTGGACCCGAAGGTGCCTCGCGTTGCACCTGGATGCCCTGCAGTACGCTGGGCCTTCCGCACCAGCACCGCTTGTCCTCGAGGTGCCGTAAATTTCGGTTTAGCGCTATAAGCATTACTGCCTGGTTATTATGAAGGGTCAGGTCTCGCTTGGCGTTCCGAGTTGATGAAGCCTGAAGATAGTCTGCCTGCATGTGTGTGTGTGTGTGCGTGCCTGTGTTGAGGTCCATTTTTCAGCCTTTGTTGCAAATTGGTGGGCTCCAACGTCTTTTGGTACTTCACGGCCTGTCATGACGAAAAGGTGTCCAGTGTGATGTCCTTGTCCTGTGGATACCGAGACGGACCAGCTCCGTTTCCAGCATGCGAGTGCTTCGTGCTTAGCATCCCGGATGTGTGTGTGTGTGTCTGTGATGCAGGAGCCCAGCCTAAATCCGTAAACCAACCCCTACACCCTGCCTACACCCCAGGTGTCAAAGCCCACGGTGCCCACGCCATTGTTTTTGCTGAAGCATTTCAGCAAGAGGTCTTTGACAACTTAGCGCAGGGTGCTTTTTTCTCCGGAGCATGTCGCAGCGCACATCGGCAGCCGTCGCCTTGGGTGGCATGGCCGGGTTGGCGTACATGAGCTTGGGCAGCCAGACATTCGCGGCCGCACCGGCAACCGCGAACCTTCGTCAGCAGCACACCGCCCAGACCGCACAGGCGCCGCCTTCTGTGGCCCCCACATCTCTGCCAGCAATGATGGCTGGCGGCGCGGTCCTCGCTGCAGCGGCTGCTTCTGGACGTGCTACCCGCTCGCATGGCAGCCGACCCCTCCCCACCAGCGTCATGCCAGTGAGGACAACGGCCACAGCTCGCCGGGCCTTGGACCAGTCCAGCCGCTATGCGGACTTGTCCTTGGATGAGGCGACGCTCATCAAGAACGGCAAGCACGTGCTCGTTGCTTACATCATGAAGCCGAAGGCAGGTTATGACTATCTGGCCACCGCCGCCCACTTCGCCGCGGAGTCTTCCACTGGCACCAACGTGAA